TACCGCTGCTATAACAAAGGCGGAAAAGAAAAGAACGGAGCCAGGCAGACACATGCCTTCTGTGGTCGTTTCTTCCTATCCCATGGACGCCGCCGCCCAGTGTAGCCGTCCTTTTTGCAAGGGGTCTATGGCTGCTAATGGGGAATGAGAGAGAAGAATTCGGCTTTAAGTTAACCCACACGCTGGGATTTTTTTATTGTTCAATCTAGAGGAGAAATCTCCCACCGGCACCGCCTTGGAGGTCAAAGCGTAGGACTGGTTACGCTCTAAGACTACTACTACGACTACGAGGAACGAACGGGTGCAGCACTAAGGAGTTTCGCCCCTCAAGCCCGCTCTGATGACCAAATTGCTTGCATTCCCTGGTTTCCCGCCCAGACACCCGTCAACCACGTGGAGGTCAATCTTAACGAGGTGGCGCACGGCGTGGCTCGAGGTCTCACGTTTCGGGCAACGTCAGTGGTTGACACCACCCAAACGGACTCTCTTGTGGAGGAGTGGGAGTGGCGGGATAGACTTGCCGAATTCAACTAAATCATCCAACAATATAAACTTCAACCACGGGAATACTCCCCGCCTAACCCCAAGCTCAACCGGGCCCAGTCCGTTCAATGGCGGCAATTACAAACAGGCACCTACACTAATACCGTAATTATGAAACATTTACACAGACTTGTATATGACCAATTCGTGCAAGTATTATAGTAATAGGGCCACATTAGCGCATATTCTCCGGAAGTGTCCCGTACTAATTGGCAAAACGAGAGACGCGGCCTCCAATGCGAACCTATTGGAGCGTTGGTGGACCGCGCTGCTCAGCTCAGGACTAGATAATCAACTCTGGGTGATCCAGCAGGCCAAAGAAGCTGCTGAGAGACATGGTCTCTCAACCAGCTCCTAGGTGGGCACCCAGCCCAGAAACCTCCAGGAAGTGAAAACAATTGCCCGCAGCTTCCCTCGGGGGAACACTGAGGAGGATGCGGAGCATATAATTGGTTAACGGGGTGTTAAAGTGCGACTTACTTGGGCCGGTGGCTAAATTGGTTAACGTGGTTGTGAAATGGGGTGTTAAATTGCGACTTACTTGGGTCGATGGCTAAATTGGTTAACGTGGTTGTAGGAGGGGGTGTTAAATGAGTGAACACGTACACACGTATGCGAAAGGGCGGCGCTGGTCGAAGGGACGTCGATCATTGTGTTTGTGGATTCGTTGGAATTCATTTCACCGCGACCTTGGACGTCGACGCGCCGTACAAACCAACCGACGAGCGGCAACTGAGCGAGCGAGCGCCGACCTTGAGTATATATACAGCGCGACGGCGCATGCACTGTCAGCTGTTGAATGTTCTCGAAGCGCGACGGCGCATGCGCGTCCACTGGAGATTCAGGAGAATTGTAGAATGTTCTCGAAGGGAAGAAGCGCGCGCGGCACAGATGGTGGGTGACGGTGCATGCGCGCGTCAGCTGTCGAATGTTCAAGAAGGGGGAGAAGCGTAACGGCGCATGCGCGCGCATCAGCTGCCGATGTTCTCGAAGCGCGACGGCGCATGCGCGCGCGTCAGCTGCCGATGTTCTCGAAGCGTGACGGCGCATGCGCGCTACATTATACAGCTAGCGAATGTTCGTGAAGAGGAGAAGCGCACGCGGTGTGTAGAGGAGGAAGGCTGCACAGATGGTGGAGGAGTGAAGCGCGCCCGGTGTGTAGAGGAGGAAGAGATGCACAGATGGTGGAAGAAGGAGGAGGAAGCTTGCAGACGGCGCCGCACTACAAGCCTCGAGTATTAGATGCTCCGCATCTAATACAGTTGTTCACTCACTTCTACTCTAACTTACTTAACACTTACAGCCAAAGACATTGAACGCACAACAGACCATGACAAGCTTCCAACGAGCGTTCGAAACTATATATGGCACGGTTGGCCAAAAAGCGTTCCCAATAAGCTACTGCCATTTTGGGTTCATCATTTTCAACTGGCAGCCGATAATGGTTGTATTTTTTGGAATAGCAGAGCCGTAATGCATAAAAGTTTGCAAGCCGAGGTTTTAGCTGTTTTGCACTAGCAGCATTTGGGGATCACCACAATGAAAGCCCTAGAAAGTTCAATGGTGTGGTGGCCAGGCATCGACAACGCTCTAGAACAAGTATTTAGCCAGTGTCAGTTGGTACTTCCGACAACACAGCCAGCGCGTTTATGTTAGTGGCGACTGAGTGAATTCCCATGGAAAAGAGGGTATTTAGGTTTTGGCGCTAAGAAAGGGCACATGTTCTTATCGTTGTGGATGCATATTTGAAATGATTTGAAGAATCAATAATGCATTCAATGACAGCTACAAAAACTGTGGGCGCAGTGCATTCTCTGTTTGCATCACATGGCCTTTCAGCTGAGGTAGTCAGCGATCACCGCCCTCTATTTCTAAAGTGATATTTGAGATGTTACGAAAAGCGACTAAAAGGGAATGTCGTAAAACACACCCTGATGCCACTGTACCCCGCGCATTCAAATGGTGCGGCTGAGCGAGCAGTGCCAACTACGAAGAAAGCGCTTATAGAACAGCTCCTAGATGATAAAGAGAAAGGCAAATCCGATCGCTACAACATAGGATCAACGACTTTTTGTTCTCTTACCAGACGGCGCCCCATACCTTCACGGGTAAAACACCCCCTACTCTTTCCGAGACGCACACTGAGGACTAGGCTAGCATTGTTGCAACCAAATGTTAGGAGTGAGCTGTCAGACAAAAGGGAGAGTGCGAAATTATCAGCGAATAAGCGAAAGGGTGTATCATAGTATTGTTCTGTTGGCGATATTGTTTTTGTGCGCTCAGTTCGACGGAAAGTTGCTAACTGGTTTCACGGAAAATTGAAATATGTGAAATCACCATGCAGGTATTCGGTTTTTGTACGACACCATGTGGGCTACGTACATGCCAAACGCTTGCGGATGTAATATTTGGAGGCAGACAGCGACTGTGATCATAGTGAATCCGACTTGCCACATGCTGTGGAAGGGTTTTTGCCCAGTCATCGGCAACGTAGTCACGGGATGCCCAACTGGTAACAGAACAAGCACAAGCATCAAAGCATCACCTAGCCCTGACTGCTCTACCTATCACCCTGAGAAGCAGCTGCCGAGAGCGATGACCTCCGGACCTTTGGGGTTATAGCAATGGCTCAAAGTAGAAGGGAAGAAGTGTTGTGCCGAACATTTTGTGGTGTTGCATCAAACGCGTGGTGCGATTGATAGTGAACTTGCTCGCAGGAAAGAGGGCATCGCGATTTGGATTTGTGGACTTGTTTGTTGTGTATGTGCGCTTTGGTGATTCGATGCCTGTGTTCACTGACCATAGTATATGAGTTTCTACTATGTGTCTGTGTGACTCAGTATGGAGCCATCGGAATAAAGACATCCCACGAGTGCGTCTCTCTCTGTGTGAGTTACAACAGGGTATGGTTCTTAGGCCCTTCAGGTACCCCTCGTCTCGATTGATTTGTGGGGTTTAACGTCCCAAAACCACCATTTGATTATGAGAGACGCCGTAGTGGAGGGCTCCGGAAATTTCGACCACCTGGAGTTCTTTAACGTGCGCCCAAATCTGAGCACACGGGCTTTCAACATTTCCGCCTCCATCGGAAATGCAGCCGCCGCAGCCGGGAATCGAACCCGCGACCTGCGGGTCAGCAGCCGAGTATCTTAGCCACTAGACCACCGCGGCGAGGCGTACCCCTCGTCTCGAATGGCCATATGGGCTCCTGCACAAACCGGCCCCAAACAACGAAACGGCTGAAGCTCACTCTCCGGGGAACGTTTTTTCATCCTTCCGAAATGAATCCAGAACCCTAGTATGCCTTCAAATTTCGAGAAATCACTCAGTTTTACCAATTCGATCACGCGATTGACCTTAAAGGGCCACTCACCAGCTTTGACAATTTTGAGCTGACAAACGCAATGTGTAGATGAGGCGTTCATGATCACTTCTGCCAAACTTTTCAACGCTACGCACCGCGGAAATGGGTCAAACTTCAAGATGAAAGCTGCTCCCCCTCCACTCCACCGGCGCACGCGTAGAGAATGAGGGCATGACGTAGGCGTAGGAATGGCCCTACGTACACGGCAATGCAGTGACGTTGGTCCTCTACCTAGACGAGTCTGCTCTGACGTTGTCAACAGTATACCACGTGACATGGCAAAAATTATTTAACACAATAAGCGTATTTTATGTATTTGTTGCTTTGGGAGATGAGTAAAATTTTAAATAAATAATGAGACGCAATAATAAATTGTGCACGTTTTTCTTACATTTCTTTTCCCGTTAAATGCTATGAGATGCGGGGCTAATGTGCCAGCGTTCCGCATGAGCTCGGGTTCCCACGGTCAGCGCGTTGAGCAGACGACCACCGTGGAACGCTCTTACGCGTTCGCGCACTCGTTGTGCTCATATACGCTACCACGTCTAAGCCAGCATTTCCAAACCATCTCGCAGAAACAGGCAGAAGACCACAAAATAACGCAGGTCAACAAAGCAACGCTGCTCGCGTGCTCGGGGGCTGGGCTTGTTTGGTCACGTCATGCGAACGTCACCTCTTGGTCGGATGCGGGAGAGGATAGGGAACAGGTTTGGCTTGCGAAGGCTACGCGGAGGAAAGGCAAAGGTTTCGAACTCGTCTCCTCTCACCCTTGTTTCGCACCTCTTCAAAAAACCTGTTTTCTCTGCTCGTAATGAATCGATTCAAACACTTTTGTGGCAAAAAATTCCTCATCGGACACCCAACATCTTCCACTGTCTAACAAAAATTCAGCATGGGGCGTGTTGAGTGGCCCTTTAAACTTTCACAAAGACCTGGGAACGCACACTTCCCCGCCTTCCCAGCAAAACAATGCTTTTCGAGGCAGTTTTCAAATATTTTGATAATTTTGTACAGGAACGGGCCACACTGTGTGGATACGTCTTCAAACGTTTTCCAGATGATGCAGGCGTGTCAATCAACCCTGAACCTCACCCTAAAAGCAAATGCCACCCGGGAGTACTGGGATGCAGCCCTGCTCAGCTGTTCTGACCTGGTGAACCAGAAAGCCCTGGTCGACAGAGCCCAACTCGTGGTTGTTGCCAACGGGTTTCTGTAATGAGTAGCCCACCTAGTAATTCTGAGGGATACTTCCGTATGGTCCACTTATAACTTATTCCAATGCACCAGAAATAACGTGTTTGAAGCAAGCAAGCCAGTGGCACATTCGAACGATGACCTTCAGCATTTTGAATACCCTTTTTTACAGCTTGTCTGTGTTCTTTTACGTGTTAAAAAGAAAGTAAATAATGAAGGGTGTAAAACTTCTGTTTGAAATTAGAACTACGAAACCTACTCGATCCCAGAAAAAACCGCACGACCTTTTTCTTTAAGAGAATTTAATTTCTTTCCGCATAGTAATACATCTGAGATATAGGAAACTTATCGACATTCGTGTAAAATATGATCAATTATTTCGGTTTTGATTTTCCGTGTAATGGTGATCTTCATAATGATGTCTTTCTGCTTTCTTGTATTGAAATGATTTTGCGAAATTGTTTCATTTTTTAAGAAAGTTTTGAACTCTTTATCAGGCAATATATTATGTGGTCTTTTGTTGTTAGCGCCAGCAAATTACACTTTTACCAATCGCTTAAGCACACGAGCACGTACGTTGGTCTTTCACTAACCTGAAGGTCATTCAAATCCTGCCTGGGGCCGATTCCGGAGAGCAAGAGCAACTGTGGCGTACCAACTGCTCCGGCTGAGATCACGACCTCGCGGGTAGCCATGATGTCGGTCGTCCAAACATCAGTGACTAAACGAATTCCGGTGGCACGGTTTCCCTGAATCAATACCTGAGTAAAAACGAGGAACATTCAGTTTACGCCTAAAAAAAGGCCTAGCATCTTAGTGGTAAGAAAAATGAATGCGGGAGAAGCAGTGCCAAATGCCTGAGTAACATCAAAATAACGATGGTTCGCGGTACGATTTTCTCCAGCGCTTATATCTACATTTTTGTGTAATCTCGCTAAAAAATGAAAAAAAAACAAGAGGTGATTTGTGGCTCATGGGAGAATGATTACGTAATAACTTTTACACCACTTGCGTTAACGCCGACACAACCAGACGATGGTCAACTGGCGATGATTTATTCTCACGTTTAACGAGGCCTGCATGGCTTTCGGATTAGAAAATCTGGTTGGTGACTATGACCTATTGCGTTACCAAGTGGCTGTTTCTTTTAAAAGTTACAGAAAATGGAATGCTGATCATGTTCTGTTTATACAAGCCCTGCATATTATTTCACTCATGTTCAAGTGATCCAACCAGTATACGTGCTACATGCATGTCCTCTTTCAGGTGTGAAGCATATGAAGGGCCTCACTTGCCATTTAGTCATGGACCATCAAAAACATGTACACGCTACTAAATTGAGTAAATCGCTCTGTTCGTCACCGGTCCACCTAAAATTACAGAGTTTTCAACGCACGACCCATGAACAATGGAGCTCTACGCTGATGATTTCTCAACTTGTGCATCAACTCAGGGCTGTCCAGAGGGCTCAACGCGCAGCAGTGGGGCTCGGCATACCAGCCCAGTGTGGCAGCAGGCCACTGCTTTATTGTTTGCGCAATGGCGTTGCTTGGTACCTAAATAAGGTACTCTGTCTGTCAGTGTGAACGTGTATGGCTACGTCTGCGCGTTGCTGGGACTTATAGTAGGCGTGGAAACAAGAAAGAAATCAGTTCACAATAATTATCTCCTTTATAGTCGTTACAATCCTAAATAGGCGTGAATGAGCTTGCTCTACAGCAGCCGGTATCACGGAAACAAAAACTGATATTCCTACGCAGTGCCGATCATCTGGAAGACATACTGGTGAATACTTAAGGGTGGTATCTGAATCGGTCGCCCAAAGCCGCTGAAGTAGCGGTCTGTCGCTTGTCTGTAATCAATTTTCTCGCCGCTTGAAAAAAAAATCCAAGAGAATTTTTTCACTTGCCTTTGTAGCGTGGCTATTCATCGCCAAGTGCAAATTTGGTCTGTCCATGACTGGGTTGATGAAAGACTCCGCAGCGCTGTAGCGCTTACCGTATTGTATATTGGCTTGTACCCTCGAGCATCCTACAAAAAACAAAAGCAACCTGAAGCATCAGAGTAATTTTGTATTATATAATATTACCAACATTTTATCCTAATCCACTGAATAGAATTTGAATAAACTGAATTGAATCGACTGAATCTTAATCAACTGAACTGAATGCATGTGAAGCGTTCACAAATCACGCAGGGTGCCTTTTTCAAAGTGCGCCATAGTGAGAACTGAGTCTGTTAGATGCGATCCCATGCATCTGCGTGTATTGCTTGAGATTTTCTTGTGCTCAACGACACTATTATTATTCATGGGTAGCGGTACATTTCAACGTGTGCAACTTCTGAAACAAGGCAACAAATAGTTTGTAAGGTAAAGCGACTGACTTATAAAACAACACAAATTACAACGCATTGTCTACAGGGGTGTCACATTAGCGTGCCAAGATTCCGAAGCACTCCATCACACTCCAAGAAAGAAAGAACAAATGCGTTATTTCGTATTACTTTCAATAACTAAGGTAAAGTAACGGGCAAATAAACATTGAATGCTTCTGTATTCAGTAAGCTTTGAACCTTGCACAATTATAAGCAACCATTAGGACGAAAATACATGCACAGTTTGTTCCTTGGTTGTAACTAGTTCGAGTGAAAAAGAGAAATTGGCACATCCCACGTACAGTGGGAATCGATGTTATAGAAATCTCGAATGAGAAAAGTTGATATGTCACTTTAAAATCAGCACAATGTTTCGAGGTGGAGGCGAATGATGCCGTACGTGGCTTTCGTGTCATGATACTTGTGTTTGGTTGTGTTGTTTACCTTCATCATCTATTCACCTCACTTGATTAGTATATGTGGAGCTAGAAAAACGGCCGTGAGCGCATCATAAAGGGCCCAATGTACTGCAATGTAGCGTTGACGTTTGCGCAAGCTTGGCACAGCGACGCTATACGTTAGCAAAACGCGAGCACTATATAGTCTGACGCCAGGCGCCACCGGCTCGACAGCAACCGGCCGGAAATGCGACAAGCAGCATATCGCACCAATGCGTTTCCCAGACAACACTGCGCCTCCCTATTTTCGCGACGAAGGGATGCCGGATGCGCTGAAACGCGCATTCGTCAGAGCAAAGCAACGCGGTGCAGCCCGCGCCTGTGAGTATATGGCAGTACCGGCGCCTGGCGTGGCAACAGCGGCTTGACGCGACAAATTGAACGCCAGTGAGGGCAAGCACCGCGTCCGGTCGAAATGTGTTGGCACCTTGACTGTGGCATGTGGTCGTGTTCTCACATAATACGCATCTAATGATTATCATATTTGCACCAGTCACATGCCCTCGCCATCCGTCGACGTCGCGTAATACCAAATTTGGCATATGCGAAGTTCGCGAAACGGCCAAGAGCGCATTATGAGTGTGCCTCGTGGTCATGTTGCATGACACGCATGTCGTGATTATCAAGTTTTAATGTGCCATTTACCTATTTCACTCGTTCGCGTCGCGTAATACCGAGTTTAATACACGTGAAGCTAGGCAAACGGCTATTAGCGCGTCGACGTCGCGTAATACCAAATTTGGCATATGCGAAGTTCGCGAAACGGCCAAGAGCGCATTATGAGTGTGCCTCGTGGTCATGTTATGAGTGTGCCTCGTGTTCATGTTGCATGAAAAGCATGTCGTGATTATCCAGTTTTAAGGTGCCAGTACATATTTACTCGTTAGCGTCGGTAATACCGAGCTTTAATACAGTGAAGGTAGGCAAACGGCTATTAGCGCCTTAATAGCGTTGCATGTAGCAATGTTGCTACATGACACGCATCTCATGTTCATGTTTGCACCAGTATCACGCATTCGTCATCTATTCACGTCCCGTCATACCATAATTGGTATAACTCAAGCTAGCGAAGCGGCCGCCTGCACTTAGAGGTGGCATTTAGTATGTTGTAATGACCGAATTCGCATGATTTATGATTGACCTATCGACATTCATTCACGTACCGGATTGACTCCCTCGAATTCATGCCGACTGGTTGTGCCCTCGCGATCTCCAACGACAGCGTAGCTCTGGCCGACTGGACTCACCCTACGCCATCTCCTCTCGCCGACAAGAGTTCTCGCCTGTGGTGCCCCGTCCTCGGACTTATGCGACCGTCCCCATCTTTTTATCTTATCTTCATTTGCGTCTTTCACTGTCTCTGCGCATCGCCCTCTCCTTCCTCCTCTGCATCTGTTTACCTTTTTAATCCTATTTTTTTAATCTCTCCTTTACCCCCCCCCCTCGTGAGCTACTGTTGAGGCGTCCTCCGTCTGAGAGACAATTATGGGGCTCACTTTTCTCATCTTTTCATATAAATCTCGCTAACTAGCTGCTGCTCTAAATTATTGGAACATGTAGTCAACAAGGCAATAATTACTTATTTAGAAGACAACATCTTATTGCACCCAAACCAACACGGATTCCGTAAAAACCTGTCTACCGTTACTCAACTCTTCGAAATAACACATGACTTCGTTACTACTATTAACTCACAATTGCAAACCGACTCCATATTTATAGACTTCGCCAAAGCTTTTGATAAGGTGCCTCACAGTAAATTGATTGACAAACTTGTGTCTATTGGTATTAACAGTAACATAATAGCATGGATAAAAATGTATCTATCAAATCGAAGCCAGTATGTAACCGTAAACAACACAGCCTCTGATTCATTAGAATTTTTTTCCGGAGTACCACAAGGTTCTGTTTTAGGACCCACCTTGTTCCTAATATATGTTAATGATATCTATATGTGCCTTGAGCCTAACGTTAAAATGAGATTATTCGCTGACGACTGCGTGATCTACACCACTATCCGCACAACTGATGACCAGCTTAGACTTAATACCACACTAGCTAATATTGCATGTTGGTGTCTTGAGTGGGGAATGGAAATTAACATGTCAAAAACAGCTTGCCTTAGCATAACTCGCAGAAAAACAATCCAGCATTTTAGTTACAATTTGTTCGGCACAAACGTTGCAAGAAACGACGCTGTTAATTACTTGGGCGTTAATGATAATAAGGGTTGCAGCGCGAGCACGAATGTGCTAGAAAAAACAGACGAAAGTCGAGGTATGGAAGGCAAAGAGGACAGACAACACGAGCGCTTTCCTACGTTTCTTTACCTTCCATACCTCGACTTTCGTCTGTTTTTTCTAGCACAATCGTGCTCGCGCTGCAACCCTTATTATCATGAACTCAAACCAACTAGCCCAAATCGCCATTCTTCTTGGGCGTTACCTTTACAAGTAAACTGAAGTGGGATGCACATATAAGCAGCACATACACAAAAGCTTATCGCCAGCTGGGGTTCCTGCGTCGAACACTTGCATTGGCGCCTCCTAATGTAAAGATAATAGCATATAAATCTCTCATAAGGCCAATCCTTGAGTACGCCAGCATTGTTTGGAACCCCCACCAAAAAAAACCTTTCCGACAAATTAGAAATGGTCCAACGCAAGGCCCTTCGCTTTATCTATTCTAAGTATTCGAGGCATGACAGTGTCACTGAGCTGCGCAGGCGGGCATGCTTGCCGACCCTTGCAGCCCGTCGCCGTGTCTCTTCCTTGAAGTTTATTTTTCTTTTGTATCACAACGGTTTAAACATAGATAAAGACAACTCTATAAAGCCGCCTAACCATCACTCCCGTCGTACCAACCACAAAAAGTGCATTAGACCTTTTATGTCACGCTGTGACACTTTTAAATATTCCTTCTTCCCGTCAGCAGTGGAAGAGTGGAACAAATTGCCACGTGAATGTGTTAGTCATTCCTCTGTTGATTCATTTGTTCGGAATGTAGAAAGCCTGTTTTATGAAGACTAAAAGCAACTTTTGTTTTTTTTTATGTTTGTGAGCGCTTCTTCTGTAGATTCATTTGTTCGGAATGTAGAAAGCCTGTTTTATGAAGACTAAAAGCAACTTTTGTTTTTTTTATGTTTGTGAGCGCTTCCGAACACACTGATCACAGTACCCCCTGCTGATACCTTGATGTTTTGTGACCTGTCCATGATTTTGTTCAATTGCTTTCATCGTACAAGTTTTATTTTCACCATCATCTTGTGATTCTGTTTCTTCCGCTATGTGCGATATTGCCTGGTTTGTACGCGACTGTGTATATTTGCTCGCCCACCCTGTATGAGCCTGAGAAAGGCTTACAGTATTAAATAAATAAATAAAATAAAATCACTTCACCTCATTCACGTACCATAATACCGAATTTCGTCTAGCGAAACGGCCGCGAGCGCATCATGAGCTTTGCATGTAGTCATGGTTTTACATAACACGAATGGCATGATTTTCATGCAAGGGTCTGACGCTTGTGTTTGCCATCAATCATGTCAAATCATACCAGTTTTGCAACATGTCATGTGAACAAAACCACCGCAATAGCTTCACGACAATGAAATGTTTATCATGACAATTATGACATCTGTGTCATGATTTTCATGTTATGACTAGTCAAATATGTTCTTCAAGCAGTCATGTTAAAGGGCCACTCAACACGCCCCATGCCGAATTTTCGTTAGACAGTGGAAGATGTTGGGTGTCCGATGAGGAACGTTTTGCCACAAAAATGTTTGAATGACGAGCGGAGAAAACAGGTTTTTTGAAGAAATGCGAAACAAGGGTGAGAGGAGACGAGTTCGAAACCCTTGCCGCTCCTCTGCGTAGCCTTCGCAAGCCAAACCTGTTCCTTACCCTCTCCCGCATCCGACCAAGAGGTGACGTTCGCATGACGTGACCGAACAAGCCCAGCCCCCGTGCACGCGAGCAGCGTTGCTTTGTTGACCAGCGTTATTTTGTGGTCTTCTGCCTGTTTCTGCGAGATGGTTTGGAAACGCTGGCTTAGACGCGGTAGAGTAGATGAGCACAACGAGTGCGCGAATGCGTAGGAGCGTTCCACTAGAGTGTAGTTCCACGGTGGTAGTCTGCTCAACGCGCTGACCGTGGGAACCCGAGCTCATGCGGAACGCTGGCACATTAGCCCCGC